CTCACCCAGCCCCTTAATCAATAAAAATTATTGATTTGTACTTTAGAGTGATTAGGTTGAATGATATGTATGCTAACGTCATATCATATTTAGATTTTACGTCATTATTTTGGTGAACTTTAAATGTAGACATTTTAAACGGTGTGTCATTTGACACGACGTACTATAACGTTGTTGTTTTTTAAAACTTGAAGTTTATAATCTTAAGCAAATTTTTACTAAGGTGATCAAAAATTAAGATGACAATGTAAGATATAGAAAAAGAAAATACATTGAGTGGTAAAAATAAAAAATTGTCATTAGACGTAATGTATTATGTATAAGTAAACTTTCTTAAAAATTAACGAAGTTCAAGTCAAAAAGAAGTTTGATGAAAACTGTAATACTAAAGTGAACATGGGAAGGTAATCTGCTGCAAGACTAAGATATATATTCGTCTTCCTTCTAGGTTCATTGTCTTTTTTGGTTGAGGTTAAACATCGCCCTGTTTTCAAATATCGCGATGTACGTCACGTTCTCTCCCGTGATTTTGATTCCAGTCATACCTCTTATACAGGATACCGAGTTACATAACTTTCAGGGACAAGTAACAAAACAATAACACATTAAAAAATCACAAAAGACCATATATAATAAATTTTTATTGAATAAAAACAACCCCATCGGTCTACAGTCTAGGGGAGATGTCACATTGTGTCTACTTGTCTTTTAATATAAAAGTAAGAAAGTGAGTTTCTGTGTTGGGTGTAAGGAGATGTCTGTGAGAAGTCATCCTATGGGATATTCGTGTCGGTCGCTGATGTGTCGTCTGGTGATGTTTTGATGGTGTGTGGTATTTTATAGTGGTTCGTTAAATTATATTTTCTTGTAAATTCTTGCAAACATTCTCTACATGTATGTCTTCGTCGTCTGTGTGCCGTATCGTGATGTCGTTTCAAACCATGTTTGCAGGTGAATGCATGCTCACATATGTCACATGTATAACGTATCATGGGTAGGTCGTCTACAGGAAAAATAGTGGTGTGTGAATTAACGTTACTGTCGTTGTTAGTCTTTACGCGTTTGTTGTTTGCTATGTCGTCATACATCGTATGTCGCTTTAATGGAATAGTGTTGGTCATGGTACGAGTTGTTTGGATCGCTGCTAGGGGTTGCATGGTTTGTCTGTCGGTCACGTATAGTGGTTGTGGAGTTTGTCTATCGGTTGCTGATGGGGTGTCGGTCGGTGATGTTTGGTTGGTGTGTGTTGTTTTACAATGTCTTGTTAAATTGTCAAGTCGTGTAAATAGATTCCCGCATGTTGTACAGAGATGTCCTTGTCGGCGGTGAACAGAGTCGTGATGTCTTGTCAACCCGTCTTTGCGGGTGAACACACGGTTGCATATGTCACACTTGTTACGGCTCATGGCTGGATGGGTGGTAGACTGGGCGGTTTGCATTATTGACGAAGTGTCTAGTAGTTGGATGACTGGGTAGGTCACTGGCTGTAGAATAAAAATAAATACATAAAATAAAATGCATGAAACAAAAATCATACTTAAAACAAAATTAAAAATGAACGTACCTATGGGTTTGAACGCGTAAGCTGAACGTGAAGTTAGCTGTGTGTGGAGATCCGAAATGGTGTAGTTGGATGTAGCTGGAACGTTTGGTTCAGTGGGTGCCTCGGGGATGGGTAGGTAGCTCAATAGGTTCGGTCGATGGTTAGTCTGTCTCGTAGGGTCGGTTGTACACTAAAAGGAATACATATGAATACTTATTTAGATACTTATTTATTTAAAGGGTATTTTAATGGGGTTAGCTCCCTTAAAACAAAAAGTAATATTAACCTTACCTTTAATAGAATAAACACGCACAAAAGATGTGGTCCGTATAGGGTTAGGTGGATGTGATGGTTGGTAAAGCTGGCGTGGGTTTAGTCTCAGGAGTCAACAGAGGTCGCAGGCTGGATAAGTCGCGGTGACGCTTGATTTGAAGTCCGAAGTTGAAGTGATTAGAACACAATTTTCGCGGTCATTTATCCGGTTGAACGGCCTAATTACAGCACCAGCTGTCGCACAACAGCTGTTGCATAATGACCTAAGTGCTTCGCGGAAAGCTACTTAATGTATGTCGTTAATTACCATAACCTGTCAACCGCTCGGGGGAAACTCGGTGAAGCATAACAAAAATTTAATTAGGTGTGATGGGCCAGCGGCTGCGATCAATACATTCCCATTAAAACGGGCAGCGGTGAGAAAACTTCGCGGGCGGGTCGATACGTAACAGCTGTGGCTGATCGTTATCTTTAATGGATGTTCTATGTTTGTAACGTTCGTTGTGGTGGAGAATTTAACCTGTTTTTTGTACACGTTCGTTGTAGGGGAGAATTTAAAACATACATACATTCAAATAAATAAGCAACATTAAACAACAAAGAAAAGAAATATATCAAATAAATAAATTAAACAAAGTAATTAAAATCAAATTAATTAAAATGAATTTCAAACAAATAAGCAAATTACGTAACTCGTTAATAAAAATTACACAATATAAACAAAGTAATTAAATTAAACAACAAGTAAACAAACTAATTAAACAATCAACGTAATTAAATTACATAACTAGTCAATAAAAATTCAAACTAATTATAAAATAAAATTAAAATTACGTAACTAGATACAAAATAAATAAAAATCAAATTAATTAAACTTATTAAAAATAAAATAATTAAATTAAAAATAAACAAAATAAAAATAATTAAAAAGTTAAAATCAAACAAATACAAAATAAATAAAAAATCGAATTAATTAAACTTATTAAAAATAAACAAACAAAACACAAACAAAGTAATTAAAATCAAATTAATTAAAAAACAATAAAATTACGTAACTAGGTCAAAAATTAATTAAAATTAAAAAAACTCATTAAAACTAATTAAAAAACGCATTAAAATTACGTAACTAGGTCAATGATTACGTCATAATGTTACTAATTACGTCACAAGGTCACCGGTGGTGACCTACTGACCTACTCCCCCACCTGCTCACCCACCCTAGGGTGGGTGAGTATTTTACTATATCTCATTGTCCCAGGCTGCTCACCCACCTTCACCCAGGTGGGTGAGTATTTTCCTATATCTCGTTGTCCCAGGCTGCGCCACCTGCTCACCCACCCTCACCCAGATGGGTGAGTATTTTGCTATATGTCGGTGTACCTCCTGCTCACCCAGGGAGTATTTTACTATATCTCGTTGTCCCAGGCTCACCATCCTGCTCACCCAGGTGGGTGAGTATTTTGCTATATGTCATTGTCCCAGGCTGGGGGAGTATTTTCCTATATAGCCTTTGTTCCTGCTCCTGCTCCTGCTCACCCATGCGACCCAAAAGTGACCTAATATACTACTCAGCATGCTTTTAAGAGTGAAAGGGTCAAACTGTTTTGATAATTAATTACATGAATGAGGGGGGTGTTAAAGAAAAACTAATTTTTTTTCTGCACTTAATTTTTATTTTTTTATTTTCCAAATTAATTTTAGTTTAGGCTTTAATTTAAGTATTTAAAAACAAAAATTGAAGCAGCTCAGTACAGTTGATGAAATCAGGTTCCTTTTTCCATCTCAGGAACAAACAAAATGGAAACTGCCCTCTCTTTGTCTAGTACAAGCCTGTATAATCTTATAAAAAAACAACAAACAACTTAGTATTTTTGAAATTCCACGTGATCGTGATGCCTTTGTCATTTTTAGTAAAAAAAAAGAAAAGAAAACAACAAAACTTTTTAGCATTCGTAACATTCATTTTCTTCTTCTTCATTGTGAATTATAATAGTTGTTCGTGGGAATTCCATCATCACAATAAGGTTTTACGTTGTATCAGCAAGTTATGTGCAAATATGACCCGTAGATTTGGAATGTCTTTTTGGATTTGATTCCATAGTTTTTGTCGACACAAAAACGATCTACAAGGCAGAAGTTGTCTGATTTTGGAGTTTTCTCTCCTATGGTTGCTTTCCCTAGCTAACGATGCTCATCTGCCCGGGGTTCGAACTCGGGACACTTGGAGTTAGATTTTTGTCTATTGCAATAATTATACGTAGAGCACTGGAACAGTAACCCGAAAGTGTCGAGTTCGAATTACGGGAGTCTCTGAGCCTACTCAGCTCTGGTGGGTACTTGACTTAAGTTGGGGGTACGTAGTAAAGTAAAACACCCACATACCCAACTTGCCTGGTTTGAAATGTAACTTTACTTACTTTATAAACATTAAATAATATAGATATACATCTTAACTCGGCTTTTCTGACCATACTCATACTAGAATAAACGGAGGTGTAATGGTCAACTGGTTTGGAATCAGAAACATATCCCAACAGTCCAAATACTTCCTTTCAACATGAATTTGCAATATTTTTGAGTAGGCTGTAGCTCATTTAGAGCACACACACACAAAATTTAAAAAAAAAATGGCGCACCAGAGAAGAAAAACAACGGGAATTTCCGAAATAGAAAACGCCGTGTTGAAGAAAATGCTGTGCAACTAATGGCTAGGTTAGTGTTTCTAGATGATTCGCTGTAAAACCACTATTGTTAGACTATAGATGGAGGAATCGCATTTTTTATTTGTATTTAAAAGTTAAATCTTAGTAGGGTTGATGTAAAGTGTTTCTTTCCGTCATTTCTCTTTCGGAGGGGGTGGGGGGTGGGGGACACTGGTAAAAGATTTTTTTCTGTAAAAATTCTATATAGTTCGGTGAGATGGGGCAGTGATTTGTAAACATTCGAATTTGATAATACACGTTATCTCCCTTTTAGTGATTTAATATGGTAATCTTTTAATCAATTTTCAATTATTTAATATCTGATGAGATTAAAAAAAAAATAACATTTTGAACACAATCATTCCATTATAAATTGGTATAAAATCAATATTTTCACAAACAGCCATATTTATGATAGTCCCAACTATGTATACTAAGAAAAAAGGTGACAAACAGAAAAGGGAAACAGTTTTGTGGGAAAAAATATATTTCTTTTTAATTTTAACTTTATAAAACTGGCCATTTGGTTTAGCTTGAGTAAGGTTTACAACAAGATTTGACACAAGTAGGCTATATCAGGATATATGTAGCAAGTTTATAACAAGTTCATAACAAAATAACACACAGTTCACATTCAGTAGAATCTTGGTCTTTTTGAGCTCAGTGATTTGTACCAGTACAGCACACAGTGATTTGTACCAGGTACAGCACACTGCAGTTTGAAGCAGTACAGCATACTGTACCAGTACAGCACAATGTAGTTTGTACCAGTAAAAACATGCAATATTTTCACAGTTCAATATTTTACATTTCAAAGATTCTTTCCTGCATAATAAAAAAAACAACATGCAACATAGTCACCTGTTTCAAAGTTGTACACTAGAAATATTGGTGCCAGTATATTAAAAAAAATGAATAATTTCAATTCTTCAAAAATTCTTCATAAAAAAAAACAACTAAACATGTATATATTAATTTTAAGTAATAATACTTATCTTTTAAAATACAGTGAATATTTAACTGTTAAGTATAGAGTTTTTAAAAGTAGTTTGTAGATAGTGGTTAAATCCAGAAAAAAAAGTAAATAAAATAAAAATAAAACAACTAGACACCACTTCAGCATTTATACAAGTTTGCACCATCATCATATTATCCCTGATTGTTACTACAAGGCACTGGGGAGTTAACTCTAACAAGGTAGTTCAGTGGCGTCACTAAGTGGGGTGTTACCCAGTGGGGGGCGTCACTCAGCCTGGGGCATCACCCAGAATGGGGGCGGGTCACCTGGTTTGGGTTGCATGCACAAGCCCCTTTTCAATATCAATGGTAAATTATTGTCATTAAAATATGCTTGGTAATAATCTTTACTTTATTGCTTATACATTAGATGATTGTGGGTTTTAGTATTCTTCCTTTAAAAATTCAGAAAAACCACATAATGTAGAATAAATAATTTCACAAGCAGATGGCATAGAGTGAATGATAAGGCACTTGGAATGTTTTCACATCTTTGAGTACATATGACAAATTAAAAGCATAACTATGGTAACCATTAAACTGGGGTGTAAAAATGGCATCATGTTCCCAGCTTCTTGGCTATCAAACTTTATAGGGGCTTTTGTCACAGTCACATCATCTCTTAATCTAGTGACGTCACTAGTGATGTCACTAGTGACAGGAGTAGTTGTGGTTGAGTCAGTGCTGGCGACGGCTGAGGTGAGCGTTATATCCTGTCTGGTGACGCCCTCGCCAACTGTGACTTTCACTCTGGTGGTGAGGTAAGAAGGGTGTGACACCTGAAACACAAACTTGACCTTAAGCTCAACAGCTGCTGGGGTAGACTTGACAGTTTACTTAATGTTCAACTTTATGTTTAGTTTAATATTTATATGGTTTCTGACAATACTAGTATTTGGCTCAACATCTCTCTCTCTCTTATATATATATATATATATATATATATATTTCCATTACCAGTTCAAGCTTGTGTTCATTAGCCAGGCAGGCCGGAGTAGGGTTAAGAATCAAACATTTCTCTCACAAGCCACTAGGCATGTGGGTTTCTGCCAGGCTTTTGCTAGCTAGTGCGTTACACCACCTGGTTTGGACATGAGGGGGTAGTTTGGTCAGGGGACAGACCATTCAGAATGCGAGACTTTAAGGTTAGCTAGCCAGTGTTCTAGCACCCTAGACCATTTAGAGCAAAAAGTCTAGATGAAATATTTTATGGTCTCATGCCTGGATTTTGAACTTGTAACAGTCTACCACTCGACCACGCCACTCACTGGTGTAGACTCAGTTTTCAACTTTATTTTTGTTTAACATTTAGGATAAGAGTTAGGATATTGTGTGGGGATAGTGTGGAGGTAGAGGCTATAGACTGTTAACCCATCTCATATTCAGATAGCAAACTTATCTATGAGGGGTATCTGACTCATGTTATGGAATATAAAGCCAGGCATAGAACTGACTACCCTATCCAATGAAATCACAGAAAAGGTAAACTCTACTTCATTTATCCCATGGACCATCTGATTTGAAAAGGGTAACTTTCTCTATTTAAATTCATCAAATGTTTGCACGGAATTACATATCAATGTGTAGCTGATAAAGTACAATTAATTAAGAAAGTAAATAAAAAAAATTGGTTTCTACCTCAATCACATAATCTCCTGGCAACAACAGTTTGTAGTACTCTCCCCTTTTTGAAGATTTAAATTTGATTTCCTTTCTTCCTTCCACAACCACAACAGCATTAGCAACAGGTCTAAGGGTCCCATTTTGTGTGGGTGTCTGGATTAGACCTTTGACGCCTACAATAAGAACAATAGTTTAGTGAATTAACAACAGGTCTAAGGGTCCCATTTTGTGTTGGTGTCTGGATTAGACCTTTGACGCCTACAATAAGAGCAATGGTTTAGTTGGTGAATTAACAACAGGTCCAGGGGCGTAGCGAAAGGGGGGGGGGGGGCGGGGTGACACCATTAAGTGCCGCACCGGGTGACATCCGACCTCGCTACGCCACTGAACAGGTCTAAGGGTTCCATTTTGTGTGGGTGTCTGGGTTAGACCTTTGACGCCTACAATAAGAGCAATGGTTTAGTTGGTGAAATAATTAAGCTGGTGACACTTAGAATTGGGTGAGTGGGTGGGTAAAAATTAGGGTAACACTTTCAGCAAATTAGTTCAGTAAATACAGGTGCAAGGAGGGCAGGCTTATTATTTCATCTACAATAAGAGTATTTGGTCAGTAGCAGGAGTGGGTGTGAGGGGGAGTAAAATAAGAGTGTTGGTTTAGCTTGTGCACTAGTTAAGTAGGAGACACCTAGGAGCCTGTGCAGGGTGCCTAATGATTAGGACATGATTATTAAAAAATCTGATCTACTGGTTATGTGGGGACAGAACAGACATCATGTTTACATTAAATATGGTTAAACTCAGAGAGCTGTTGCTCACATTTGCTACAATCTGCCTTATCACTTTCTGTAGACTGATTTATCTCCCATGTAGGCAAGATTAGAGTAGTGTCCCTTTCACTTTGCATGTTAGAATCATATTAATGCACAGACACCCATGCATTAATAGCTTAATAATTTTTAAAAAGTATAAAAGTACAAGTTATTTCCTTTTTCTTCTTGGTTTTTAATTGTAATGTTGGACAGGATTTCCTTCAACACAAGTAAGTATACGTGTCAACCTGTTATGAGCCATATAGGCCATTGACTATGATTTCAGCCTGCTTTTCTTTTTGAAATTTATTCGATAGCCTTTCCCATCCAAGAACAAGCTACCAGGCAGCAGCTATGTTCCCTCTAAGCTGAGCGATTGCACGGCCGCGCAGTAGTTTTTAACTGCCGCACAGTCATTTTGTACAATACATATATCCTTGTATAAGACTTTTAGAACACCGCGCACACAAAATGCACGCTGCACTTGATCTTTTTTCTGCTTAGAGGGAACATTGGGCAGCAGTTGTTTGATTTTGGAGTTTTCTCTTCTAGATGGGTTGCTTTCCCCTCCTACAGGGGTCTGAACTTAGTACTATTCAGTTTAGCAACCATAAGCTTTACCGACCAGACCAGCCAGTTACTTCCTGGTTTAGTATAAAACCAAGAGCTATCATTACCCATATGTACAGCAAACAGATAGTTGATCAAGGCATCCTTGTTGAGCTGCCACTGGTTCTGCAGCTCAGCAGCCGGGGGATATTTACAACACGACATCTCTATCAGCACTTCATAGCCACTGGCAAACCTGTACATGTAGTCTTGCATACCTCCTGAAACAGGCAGGACAAAAAATTATTAGCTTTTTCTTGAGATAATCTGTGTAAGTGGGTGGGTTTACTTGTGGTCAAATCATGTGACTTTGAACTGTAGCTAATTACGATTTCTGATGACAATGCAAGAATATATGAAGTTAAATCTAATTAGATAGTAAATTAGTAATTAAAAATGAACTTATTAACAGCATTAACTAAGAGATTTAATGAACAACCAATTTCTTTACTATTATTTCTTAAGAAAAAGAATTGATTTCTTTTTATAGTTTTTTTCAAATACATGTTTTATTATACTGAAAAGAATGTATTAATAAATTTTAGGCATACAATTTTTTTACCCTTTTATCGCATGAGATATTTTACAAAAAAAGTAAGTTACTTACAACAATAGAAAATCACTTACCATGATTTGAGTACCACTAGGCACCCTTAGAAAAACCATTTTACTCACCAGTAACAGAATACCACTTGGTGCCATTAGAAAAACCATCTTACTCACCAATAACAGATTACCACTTGGCGCCATTAGAAAAACCATCTTACTCACCAATAACAGAATACCACTTGGCGCCATTAGAAATGCCATCTTTGAATGTCTCCCCACAGTGGCTGTCTCTGTGCATGGTGGGGTGAGACTTAGCAAAGGTCAAGGCCAGATAGCGGTAGACATCGTCATCAGGTGATGTGGCATAAATGTCCAAATTTGGGGCTAGCCAAAGGAAAGGGTAGGAAACATCATTGACATAAGGATGATATAAGGGTAGGAAACATCATTGACATAAGGTTGATACAAGGGTAGCAAACATCATTGACATAAGGTTGATATAAGGGTAGGAAACATCATTGACATAAGGTTGATATAAGGGTAGCAAACATCATTGACATAAGGTTGATATAAGGGTAGCAAACATCATTGACATAAGGTTGATATAAGGGTAGGAAACATCATTGACATAAGGTTGATATAAGGGTAGCAAACATCATTGACATAAGGTTGATATAAGGGTAGCAAACATCATTGACATAAGGTTGATATAAGGGTAGGAAACATCATTGACATAAGGTTGATATAAGGGTAGCAAACATCATTGACATAAGGTTGATATAAGGGTAGGAAACATCAATGACATAAGGTTGATATAAGGGTAGGAAACATCATTGACATAAGGTTGATATAAGGGTAGGAAACATCATTGACATAAGGTTGATATTACGGTAGGAAACATCATTGACATAAGGTTGATATAAGGGTAGGAAACATCATTGACATAAGGTTGATATAAGGGTAGGAAACATCAATGACATAAGGTTGATATAAGGGTAGGAAACATCATTGACATAAGGTTGATATAAGGGTAGGAAACATCATTGACATAAGGTTGATATAAGGGTAGGAAACATCATTGACATAAGGTTGATATAAGGGTAGCAAACATCATTGACATAAGGTTGATATAAGGGTAGGAAACATCATTGACATAAGGTTGATATAAGGGTAGGAAACATCATTGACATAAGGTTGATATAAGGGTAGGAAACATCATTGACATAAGGTTGATATAAGGGTAGCAAACATCATTGACATAAGGTTGATATAAGGGTAGGAAACATCATTGACATAAGGTTGATATTACGGTAGGAAACATCATTGACATAAGCACATTGACTTAAGTCTTCAGTTTGGATGCACAGTTCAAGTCATCAAGACATCCTTGAACCCACTTAGTTCTGATGGGTACCTGACTCTTGTTCAGAATTAATTTTCCAGTGAGTGGACTTGGTAAAAAGTATATATTTTCTACATGAATTCTATTTGGTTCAGCAGTAAAAAGTAGTTTGAATATAACTTGTACTTATCAATATTGTGCTTAACACCTCAACCACTGTTTCATTCAGGCATCTCCCCAGGACAAAATGGAAAAATATGAATTGAATAGAAAAATCATACTTTAACAGTTATCCGCGGACCTAGGAAGTTTCAAATGCCCCCCCCCCACTGACCCTTAGAAAAATAGCAGAAAGAAACTCGAACCTCAACTCAAAACTGTTAAGAAAATTGACCACTGTGCAGGCCACACATGATGCACTATCATCCATCTGGATTTAAAGGGTAACTTTATTGTTACTTTTTTTTGCAATCATAGAACTGACCACACTATTAATTCATATGCTGAGAACATAGAACAAGGTAAACTCTACTTCACTTACAAAGGTAATTTTATGAAAAAATTGTAAATTAAAATAAACCGGGAGTGATCTCCCCTAAACTTTCTCGAATATTCTTATATAAAATAACAGGGGATGGGAACTCGGGCTATAGACATGATTTTTAATCCATTTTAAATACTTAAAGTTTTAAAAATAGAATGTAGACAAAAGAATTGCACACCAAGTGAACGCCAAATAAAAAAGTGCATTATAGTGCGCAATATTATTAGTACTTTAAAAATTTACATTAGTTTTTTGAGAAATCTGAAGTAGCGTAAATTACTACTTCCGGTCAACGGAAATTACTCAAAATTTAACAGAAGGTAGAGAATTAGATCTTTTACTTACATGTGAAATTTCATTTATCTATCTGAAATAGTACTCAAGTTATAGGCTTTTGAAAAATTCAAAGTAGGAAAAGTACCACTTCCGGTTATCGGAAATCGCTCAAAAGTTGATACAGATCTACAATTTTGATAAAATACTTATATATGAAATTTCATCAACCTAGCAGTAACGGTGCTCAAGTTATCGTGTTTACACAAGGACACACAGACAGACACACAGACATACGGACAAGATTGCAAAATTATGTTTTTCCGTATCAGTGAGGTGTAAAACGTCGAGATTTGTAAAAATCTCGATTTTTTTTTTTGCACGATTACAAGACTTTTTCTATACTTCGTATATACGAGAAAGTAAAAATCTAAAGTACCTCCAGGAACAGAGTCAAAGGGGTAATTGACAACCATGGCCCCACCGTGGAGGTTGGCTGATAAAACAAAGTTGGTTGAGAGAATCCACGCCATGATCAGCTTTGTCTCTGTCTGTAAGGGGGCAGGGTTGGTGTTTGGGCTGTCTGGAAAGTTTCTATTCAAGTCATGGCCTCGGGAATTAAATCTGAAATTTTGAAATTTTTACTTAGACGTTTCAGTTATAATTTTTAAAACATTATGTACAAGTACATGGAAGTTAAATCTAAAAATTAATTTTTTTTCTTCACTTAGACCTATAGTTTGAAAAAAAATTAAATTAAATGGGAATTAAACCGGCAAAATATTTACTTTTCTTTAGAAATTCATTTATAATTTCGATAACTTTTGCACAAAATAAGGAATATAAGAAATGATTTGAGTTTTTTTTTTGGGGGTGGGGGGGGTGGGGGGGGGGGGGGGGGGTGGGGGTCAATTTTAAACAAATTTTTGTTCCTTAAGTCCACTACATTAACAAAGAAAATGTATAGAAACAAATGAACTGTCCACTACACTAACAAAGAAAGCACTCACCTCCCTGTAACAGATGTACAATCTCCTTCTCTGGACACAGCAAAGCCATCAGGATTCATGCAAGGCATGAGGTGAACTGTTGTGGTGTTGAGGTACTGCCTGATGGTGCTGTTCTGGTGGTACTGGAGCAGGAAGTGCTCAGCTAGATGCAGCACCATTTCCCTGCCTACCACCTGCAGAGAACAGAACCATCTTTGAAAGTGACTCGTATTTTTCATATGTAGGTATCGTTAAAATCATATTCATTTATATGCCGAGGGAAACAGAAACAGGTAAACTCTATTTTACCTGCCCAATCGCCCATCTGATTTGAAAGGGTAACTTTAGTGTTACTGCTATTGCAATCATAAAACTGACCACACTATTGATTCATATGCTGAGAACTTAGAAACAGGTAAACTCTGCTTCATCTGGCCATCTGAAAGGCTAGCTTTACTTATACTTTCATCATTACCAACCAGTATTATGCTCCTTGTAGTCTAAGTTGTTAACATAGTGGTACCTTATTTCCATACATGTAACAACATCAGTAATAACACCAGTAATAACAACAGTAACAACAACAGTAACAACAACAGTAATAACAACAATAATAACAACAGTAATAACAACAGTAACAACATCAGTAATAACAACAGCAATAACATCGGTAATAACAACAGTAATAACAACAGTAATAAAGTCAGTAATACAGTAATAACAACAGTCTGCTGTAAACATAGTCCAACCTATTTGCCTGTTATAACCACAGTACGTACAAGCTAGTTTACCTCATTTCCATGTATGTTGGCCACATATTTGACATTAGGGACAAGTAAACCTCCAGATGCTGCATGCTTGCCAATAGCCAGAACCCACAGATCTCGACCTAAGAAGATGATATAGCAAGTATTTTTTTAATACAAAGATTCTATAGACATGGTGTCAGATTTTTTGTTCTACACCCTAGCAATAACAACATCAGACAATCTGAAAAGACATAGTGTGGGGTAAACCTGTATATGCTATATGGGATAACCATCGACATAGGATAGACTTGTTTGATATATGGGATAATCCTGTGCATGTTAAATAGGATAGTCCTCTATATGTTATATGGGATTACAACATGCATGTTATAAGGGATAACCCCATAACTGTTGCACTTAATACATGTAAGACCTTGATGTTTGTAAGATGTATATCCCTGAAGAAGAGCCACATAGAAAATGTTTTATTATTTAAGAGACAATAATGATTGATACACTAGCTTTATGTACAACTGGAAGACCAACTCACACAAATGTACTTTTTCTACAGGATTATATACACATTTAATATCTATTTTAAGGATTTATCCATACAAAATGTACATATTTTATTGACTGACATGTAGATTTTATGTCAATCGAGAAGACAGCCCAATTCAAAATGTATATAATACATTATATGCAGGTGTATTTAGGTTGACCTGGATGAGTGCCCATACATTAACAAAATGTCCATACAACAACAAAATGTCCATACAACAACAAAATGTCCATATAAGAACAAAATGTCCATACAACAACAAAATGTCCCTACAACAACAAAAAGTCCATATAAGAACACAATGTCCATACAACAACAAAATGTCCCTACAACAACAAAATGTCCATATAAGAACACAATGTCCATACAACAACAAAATGTCCATAAACAACAACAAAACGTGGCTCACCATGATTGCTCTTCCCAATTGAGTACAATCTAGTGATCTCTGGATTCTTCCGACAAAAATTTTCCAGCAAAGATTTCAGTCTCAGCTCATCGTGGTAGTTAAAGTCCAGGGCTTCTATCAGTGCCAGTGGTACTAGAACCAGGCCCACCAGAATCATTTGCAGCAACTGGCACTTTAGTGCAGGCATTCATCAGCCGTCTGTAACAACACATACTACATTTATAAATATATTGGCTCCGTACATGAAGAGTTAAAGTATTTCAAATTCTAACTGGATCGTGTTGCAAGGTAATGTAGAGTTTTTTAACCCTATATTGCATACCGTTGTAATTTAGCAACATTACTTTAGAATAGTTTATTAATATTTAATATAGACTTACAGCTATAAACTGTCCGGTAACGGTAGAACGCGCAAGCTAACCCGAATGGTCTGTCCCCTGACCGAACTGCCCCTCATGCAGAGTTTCTTCCAGGCATCTATTCTGGGGGGCAAAGCCCCCCCGAAATTTTTTTACCACCCCCCCCCCCCGATCGAAATGAAATTTATATAGAAAATATATACTTTTAACAGTGTCCGCCCCCCTCCCCCCCCCCCGAAGAAAGTCTACCGCCACCCCCCTCCCCCCCCCCCCCGAAATTTTCAAGTGCCCCCCCCCCCGGAGAAAAAAGTCTGGAAGAAACACTGCCCTCATGCCCAAACCAGGTGGCGCGTGATACTGCAGAGGAAGCAAAACCCTGGCAGAAACCCACGGGTCTAACGGCTGGCGATATGGGTGAGAGAAATCCTCGATCCTTAATTAACCTTGCTCCAGTCGGCCTGGCTAATAAGCACAAGCTAGGGTCGGTAAAGGCCGTATACAAGAACGAGTTTCAAACGTTCTAAAAGTTAAATTTAAAAAAAAATTACGATGGTAATTCAAAATAGTTGGACTACATCTATTTAAGGCTGTGGTTAAAACACTCCGAGATATGCAACAACGCCATTATTGGGTTTGTTTAAACTTTAAATAAGGACCAGTAGGCCTAGAGGGCTACTTATGAATCAGGGTTCACAAAATGTTTCTAGTTTTACTGGGTTCAAAGGCACGCCGTGTTTGTAAAATATCTTCCATTTCAACGTTGTTGTCTTTAAAAAATACGATGTTTATTTCCGACTGAAACGGCATGTTTGCCGTTTGGTTTGCCGTTTGGTGGCGGGTGTCGTTGGTTGGGCAGTAAGCCGCTGAGCTGACAAGGTCAGTGGTGAGGCTGATGTGTTGGTTTAAGTGGTCAACGCCGCCGGTATTTGACGGGAGACGGCTCGTTAGAAAACTCGCACAAACACGGCAACTGTTGCCAGGGGCACTCAAGACTAGTACAATTTCAGGGGCTGTGTGCATAGCAGCATAGCTATTCGAAAGTTTGCAGTTTGCATCGCTTTGATTAGACTGAGGGGAGTTAGAGAAGAAAACTTGGGGTGTAGCTGTATCAGTGGTTTTTTTTTTTGGGGGGGGGGGGGCGGTAGAATTTTTTCGGGGGGTGGGAAGAGATGCCTGGAAGAAACTCTGAGCGGTATGGTTCGACAACTCAATTTAAAAAAAAATTACATTCATATAAGTCAGTATGACACTACACACTGAACTAGACATTAGTCAAAGATTGGCGCTTCAGTCAAGTTGTCTACACAATCCGAGTGTTCTTAAGGCACATAGGTCTACAGCAACATTTAGGAAAACAGTTTAGAAAGCGGCAACATTTAGGAAAACAGTCACAGAAAGCGGCAACATTTAGAAAAACATTCTCAGAAAGCGGCATCATTTAGAAACATAGTCTCAGAAAACGGCAATAAATAAATTTTAAAAGTCGGCCATGACGAGTTGAGTATCATTTGAACGTTGAACAGCTACCTTCATAAATCCAACCTTAACGCTTGCCAGATGTTTTTAACTAGATACCAAAATTGAGAGAGCGACGTTTACACTGCCTGCTAATATATCCAACGTCACTCAACCATTTACCTATATGCTATGTGTACATGTATTAGCGTTCTGTTCGGATATTATGTTAAAGTAATACAACAGACATTTATGTTAAGGTATACATCAGGTTTTTGCCTACATTTTCTTGAAGGGGGTAACACCAATTCGAAACATCGTTAAATGTACTGTCAAAACCATGGTTTTTTTTTTAAAGCAAAAACAATAAAATAGGGTGACACCTAACCGAGAATACAAATTTTTCTACAGGAGACACCGCGTTACCGCACCGGATGACATCCCACCTAGTGACGCCACTGGGTGGCATCACAAAAATATTGGGGAAGGGCCAAATTATATCATACAAATCACACACACACACATTAGAGCCCATTTCTCTGACCAAACACATTAGAGCCCATTTCTATGACCAAACACATTAGAGCCCATTTCTCTGACCAAACACATACACCTCACCCTACTGTCCACAAACATTAGAGCCCATTTCTATGACCAAACACATTAGAGCCCATTTCTCTGACCAAACACATTAGAGCCCATTTCTCTGACCACACACATTAGAGCCCATTTCTCTGACCAACACTATAAATCACCCTACCACACACAAAACCCCACTAACAACACATTCATCCAACCTATGGTTACCTGACTTACAAAGTAAAACAAAATACCACCATATCTTAATGAAAGACAACAAGACAAACTACCACGCTTTGGTTACGCTAAGCCGAATCCACGACATTCTAGACCCAAAGTTTACCAGTGTACATTCCATCTCCAGATTCCTAGGACCAAATCACCCCCCCCCTCCAACCCATTTTTTTTTCTTCATAAGTGCAGCTATTACAATTTTGTGATTCATATTGCCTTTTTTCTTAATCTATTGCCTTTTCATTTGAAAGAAATTGCTACTCCAGTTAATGAGTTTTGAAAGACCCACTTGAGGTATAAATCATTGGCGTTTTAAAATCTACTGTTTCCAATTTCAGAGGTAGGAATTTGTCATGTACATTATTCCTCACACACATATACATATAACTAAATAAATAAATACATTATATATATATATATATATATACATATATATATATATATATATATATATATATATATATATATATATATATATATATATATATATATATATATATATATATATATATATATATATATATATATATATATATATATGTATGTATGTATATATATATATATATATATATATATATATATATATATATATATATGCCAATATATATATAACAATTTTATCAACGTAAAATAATTGTTTTCATAACATTCAAAAGTTTAAAACTGTATCTAACGTACATCGACAGGCAGCACACGTTCGCCAAAAGCTGTAACTTGATGTGTGACGGGTCTCTAACCTCTTTGACCTGTCCACGCTACTAATTCTACTCAATAACTCAATTTTAACACACTAGTAAAGTACACGTTCCCTTTACGAACCAGACTGCCCATGGGGTAAGTGAAGTAGAGTTGACCTTTTTCTGTGATCTCGCCATATGAAGAGAAAGTGTGGTCAGCACTACGCCCCCACACTACTTTATGATGATTAAACTCAGGGTTCTAAAATACAATAGCTTAGCCCTCAACGTATCTGATTGTACAGCTATATAATGTATCAAAACATGTTCCTTTAAGTATTAACCCCTATCTTTACATAACCTTTACATAACCTAAACCCATCAAACTTTCAACTAAACATCCTTGTATGTTGACATCCTAAAACATTCAACACAAAGTAAATAAAACAAACAACAAAGCCCGTAAAGTCGACTTGAAAAAAAAAAGTAACGAGAAAATTATCTCCAGTTAAGTGAAACACTTGAACTTTGTTTAGCCCTCGGGCCCGCACTGCCGGGGAGTGAAGCATGCACGTAGATAGGTGAAATCCTGCGCGGAGTCGTGAGTACAATTTTTGTGTTTTTTTTTAAACACCGCGAGACAGGCGATGCGTTGTGTCATGTTGAAATGTATATCAATCCCCCACTCAGGGTGTTGTAGTGAAAGACTGTCTGTCCCGCTAAACTTCAGCGAGAAGCGAACATATGGAGTGGGTTTAACTTGTGCTGCACCGTCATCAGGACCGCAAACAAAAGGGCTGCCTTGTGGTGTCTAAATATAAGCATTAGATCTATAGGTCTACACTGAATTTAATTTGTTATATGTCCTTAAAGAAAACGAAGTAAATACACATATTTTATTTAAATAACTATTTACTCGCCATTGTACATATTCATTTGACTAAAAAAATAGCCAACCACCATACTGCAACCTATATATATATATATATATATATATATATATATATATATATATATATATATATATATATATATATATATATATATATATATATATATATATATATATATATATATATATATAAACCATTTCGTAAAAGTATAAACGATTTTTCATTATAAAGACATTTCCAAACAGGAGATTCGATATTTAATTAGAAACACAAAAACTATATATTCTCGTTGGTAGAATAACAGAGGAGTCAACAGTACAAATAGCTGAAAAAAGAACAGTTAACATTACTTATAGCTGATAAAAGAACAGCCAACATTACTAATAGCTGAAAAAAAGAACAGCCAACATTACTAATAGCTGATAAAAGAACAGCCAACATTACTAATAGCTGAAAAAAGAACAGTCAACATTACCAGTAGTTGTAAAAAAAAAAAACAGCCAACATTACCACTAGCTGAAGAACGAACAGCCAACATTACCAGCAGTTGTAAAACGAACAGCCAACATTACCACTAGCTGAAGAACGAACAGCCAACAGATACGAGTTGAGGGTGCAAATTACAAACGGCTGTAGCAGAAAAACAACCATAACAGAGCATGTTTTGAGAGATTCCAAAGACAAAAATGTTTAAAAAATCATGCTGCCAGAAGTAATTTAATATCTGCGTATCAGAGGGCTCTATTGCAGCGGAGATGTGTCAGGTAGGAGTTTCAATACATCAGGGTAGTATGGCTGTGTTAGGGTAGGGAAGTATGGCTGTGTTAGGGTAGGGTAGTATGGCTGTGTTAGGGTAGGGTAGTATGGCTAGGGTAGGGTAGTATGGCTGTGTTAGGGTAGGGTAGTATGGCTAGGGTAGGGTAGTATGGCTGTGTTAGGGTAGGGTAGTATGGCTAGGGTAGGGTAGTATGGCTGTGTTAGGGTAGGGTAGTTTGGCTGTG